GGAAATCTGCTCTGTGAACAATCTTTTCACTGCGGATCTTTTTTCAAAGGGCCGGTACGTCCTGGCCTTCTGCTCTTCTGCTCTCCATCTGAGGCCCTGGAGTAAGCTCCAGGGGGTTGACTCCAGGCAGCAAGCCAAGGCCCAGTTGAAACTCTGCTTCATTCAGGCTACTCTTCCTGACTCCTCAGTGAGTACACTCTCTCTCCTGGAAACTCCTACAGTTTAATTTCCTCTTGGAACACTGCTCAAATTCTGCCTAATATAGTATTAGGTACATTATGTTTTCATCAGACCCCGAGTTCCTCCTCACAGGCAGGGGCTATGTTTTACTGCTGTGTTTCATTAGTATCTAAGCTCAAGTCTGGCACACAGTAGGTGTGCAATGACCTCCATGTGGATCTGAAGCAAAGTTAGTCTGCTGAATTTATTAGAGCATTTCCAAGTTGGGTGTTCTGAACAGCAAACTACAAGTGTGAGACACGTACCTGGTTTTCTCTTTTCCACAAGTCCTTGTTGGTGTCACCTCTGTACCTTCACTCAGATTTCAGTGAACTGCCCCTCCCTCCCTAGATGCTCCTTGTCCATTCTATCTTTTTCATATGTCATTGAGTGGCACCTGAAAAAACTGCTATGATATTGATTTGAAAATGAGCCATAAAGCATAAGCAGCACACCTACTTCTCTTTGGCACCATGTCTGATCCTGCAAATGAAAACTGCCACCAGCCAGGAGCTAACACCGGTGAATCCCTGCCTCTGTTGTATGTGCAGAGAGGCCATGAGCGGAACAGAGCAATTGCCTCCATGAGTTTACCCCATGGTTAGAAACGGATGTTCCATCTCCAGTGTCTTCTTTTTTTTTTTTTTTTTTTAACAACTGGCCATACAATTCAATAATATAAATATTCATTGGACATCTTCAAAGTACCAAACATAATGCCAAATGCAAGACACAGAATGGAACTTGCCCTCACTCAGCTCAAAATATAGAAGAGACCCAATAATTACATGGGTAACTGAAAATACGATAACTAATAATCTCCAGGCAAATAAAAAGTATTAAGTATTATGTTTACAGTTAATTTCTGTCCCCTAAATAATTATAATCTGGGGCACATTCTCTGGGCCTAGCTGATGCATAAAAAACAAACTGGCAAAAACCAAACAACCCACTAATAAGCTAAGTACCTACTAAATTTTGTCTAAGTGCCTACTAAATTTTATAGGCTGGTAAACTGAGAGACAGAGAAGATGGCTCAGTGGGTAATGGCAGTTTCAGCTAAGCCTGACAAGTCCAATTCCTGGAACTGACGTGGTGGAAAGAGAACCAACTCCTGCAAAGTTTCTGTTGACCTCTACATACGAATGGTGTATGCACACTCATGCCCCCCCCCCAGTAAATAAAGGTATAAAAACATCCTCTACAAAGTCTTACTGAGTACCCTGTCCTCTTGCAGATCTCAATTGTAAATAACAGCTGCGACAGAGCTAAGAACTTTCTTGCTATCAGCGAGACTCCAAGAGACAATGAAATCTATCAAACTGAATCCTCAAGAGAAAACATGAAAAGTCATTCTCACTTCGTTTTGCACAGAGGGAAGCTGGCCTGGAAAAATGAAATGGCCCTAATGCAAAGCCAGTCAGTGGTAACGTAGAATTTGGAACAGGTGTGACTAACTTGGACTAGGGTTGCCACATGTACAATGTTTTCATAATCAGTTGTCTGCTGTCCGTTTCTAATCCTCCCCTCCTGATAAATTCTTAGAGAGCAATGGATATTTTTTTCTTTATATTTCTTCAGGGCCTAGAATATGAACATGAGAGCCACTGGCCCAATGGATGAAAAGAGTGTGTAGCACAATAATACTTGGTAAAGGAATCCAGATACAAAGAAATCACTTCACAGTGTGGTTGTCAGCATCCAAGACAGTCTCCCATGACAGCACCTCCTGGCAGACGCCTTCTTGTGCAATTCCGTACCAGGATGAATCCGTGCTATCCTGACGGGCTGTGTCAGGAAAGGTAACTGACAGGAGGTCTCTCACTTGTGGGAGAGGGCAACATTCCCAACATTATTGGGAGACCCATCTAAAGGGCTATCAGTTTACCACCGATGGCTTGTCGACTACTCTAGAGAGCTGCTTTTAGGGTGGAGTGTCTAACCCTGGGAATGTCTTGGCCAGTATCTGATTCTGATCTCATGATAAATTATGAGCCAAAACCACACAAGTATCACAAGGGTATAAATGGCCTTTCTAAGACATTAATTTTTTTTGGGGGGGGACGGGATATTTGTTACACAGCATAAGTGGCTAATGCAAAAGACATGGAAGATTAACCCCACAAATGAAGAAGGGCTAGAGATAGAGATTTCAGAGGAATTACGAGACAAATATAGACAAAGCAACGACAAGAACACGAGGAACCTTGCATGAAGGCAAGTACATCCCCACAAAGAATCTCAGAGCTGGAAGAAATCTTAACAGTCACTTTGTCCAGCCACTCACCAAAGGTCCATTTAAAAAATAATAAAGTTAACTCAGGGCTTCCATGAATTTAACCTGAAACCCAGACAACTGACTTCCTTGAGCTGACCTGCACATAGTGAGGAGTGGGCACACAGCATCTCCCCATTATCTGTGCATACTCCCTGCTGTTTCAGTTACCTACAGTCAATCACAGTCTGACCATGTTACATGGCAAGTGAGAGAAATAAGCAATCCGTACATTTCAAGTGACTTGTGCTGTACTATGTTGCTATAGCAACACACCATCTGTGATGAGGTTAGGGGAGAAGACGGTGCTAGTCACAGCAGAGAGCATAGTCTGCACCTCATCTGAGGGCATTTCTGAAATGAACCGAGCAAACTGCAGGAGGGGGCAGGCATTGGGAGCAGAACATGATTTGTTGAGAAGCTATGCAGTAGATGTTGCTCTGAGCTTTTTAAACACCCCCACTTTACCTGCAAAACAGCATTATGTCCTCAAATCAGCTCAGTTCCCTTTTCCTTTCTTTCCCGGAGGCATTGCACCTCATCCTACTGGATGACAGGAATAACTGACAGACCCCAGCAGAGGGCTAAGTCCTCACGCTCCTAAACTCCCCACAAAAGAAGGAAAATCAGATCATCCGGGTGAGGCTCCGGCAGGCTAGAGAGAACCCACTACCAGATTTCCAGCGTCCCTTTCACCAGCACTCAATTCCCCCACTTTGATTAGTGTGACTCTTCAAGCAAGAATGCACCCTAGAGGAGAATGGGACTCTTCACACTCACAACATCCCGTGTCCTGAGAGAAAGGTGTGTTACTGGTACCCAAGTTCATTATTTTAGAAGCTGGTAATGAATTCCCCGGGAGGAGTGGCCCCGCCTTATGCATGTGGGTAGAGGCATTGGCCTTTAATCACAGGGAAGTATGAGGACATGCATTATGTGGGGAGCAACCTGTAAAAGATATTGCCACACACACATGGTATGTAAGGGACTCAGAACAGAACCCAAAGAGATCAATTTAGTGACTACATCTCACTGTGTCATCCTCCTGTGGGGAGAGATCATATGCTGAAATTAAAACAAGGAACAAGGTCTTTAAAGTTTACTTAGAGCACTTCAAATAAGTACTGGCTGTCCCTCTAAGAAAATAAAACAATTCAGGGGTGTGTGTGTGTGTGTGTGTGTGTGGGTGTGTGTGGGTGGGGGGTGGTGGTGGGTGGGGGGTGTGGGTGAGGGTTTGGGTTTGAGGGTTAGGGTTAGGGTTAGTGTTAGGGTTAGGGTTAGGTTTAGGGTTAGAGTGTTAGGGTTAGAGGGTTAGGGTTAGAGGGTT